ATTGTGGCCGCCCATCATGATCTCCGATGTGTACTCATCCATGGCCCGCTTGCTGTCGCCCACGTAGGGCACATACTTGATAACTACGACGTGGTCGGGGTGCTCATCGGGTCCGTACAACAACCTGTTGGAGGCAACCATGTCGTCCACCACGTTGCTCTTGGAAATCTGCCGGAGGAGCGGTATTAATAAGAGCCAAGAATCCTGGTAACAGGCTGGACTCCTACCTCCTTGGAGCGGAACTGCTGGGGAGCGGACAAGTTCTTGCCGTCGTTGTTGCCCAGATGGTTGTAACTGGCAATGGACACCGGCTTGATGCCAGCTCCCACCAAGAAATCAACCAGCACACTCTTGATCTTGGTCTGGCCGGATTTGAAGTCATCGCCGGCAATGAAGACATTCTTCTCCTCGGCCAGCTGGATCAGTCCGGGCACAAAGGTGTTCTGCGGCGATCCGTTGATGTAGGTGCACTGTCGGATTGGAGCAGCATACATGGTTGGTTCGGTAATTATTAATATTAATCAGTAGAATGGAGGAGAACAACTTACCCCCTCGGCGATGCTGGCCATTGCGAAGATGGTGGAGGGTGAAACCTCCGCGTGGTTGGCCTTCAGGGAGGCGATGAGCTCCTGACTGGTGTTGTTCAGACCAGGCTGAACCTCCGCGAAGCGCTCCGTGTTGGCGGTCCAAAGGACGATGACCGAATCGACGCCACTGCGCTCGCGGAAGTCACGGATGTCCTTGCGGATCTGCTCGTACTGCTCCAGCCGAGTCCCACGGATCACGTTGTCAGCCCGATCCGACTGGTTGGCCGCGATGAAGTCCGGGTCGTATATGGAGGGACGTGGGCGCAACTGAGCCAGCTGATCGTAGATCTGATCTTGCAGAGCCACGTCCAGGACCTCGGCCCTGCGCATGGCGTCGCCCAAGTGGAGGCCACTGATGTCCCAGCCATCCACGACAATGTTGTCGGGCTCCACCATGGGCAACAGCTCCTTCATCGGCACGTACACATCGCCGCCGGCCTCGTCGGATCCAATGAACACGGTGGAAGCCTGGGTGATGGAGCCATACCAGTTGGCAGCCTGAACGCCCGTCCGCTTGCGCCACTTCAGCTGGCGGCGATTGGCCTCCAGGGCGGCGGTCAGCGTGGATCCGTTGTTGCCACCCCATCCCACCAGCATTACGCCCAGCTTGGGCACATGACGACCCGTTCGGATCTTCAGCGCCGTCGTCTGGGGGTGCACCTGCAAGATCGGTCAGAGATTAGAGCCGATAAGCACCAGGAATGGCACAACCCGTTTGGTCTTATTATAGGTCCGGCCACCTTATCGGTATTCCACATTTCCCACCCAAGTCAGGTAGCCGCATAAATTATGATCACGCGATTTCTGCGAAACAAACCTGAAGTCCGCCCCTTCTTCATTATGAAAACGGGGATATCTGCGGCTGGGTGATCTCGACACCCATCTTTATGACCAAGGAAAAATTTCACAATATGATTAAGTGATGACTGCATGTGAAGTACTAAACTCTTCAGTGAAATGTAAAGCTGCAATGAATCTTCAATATCTTCAATATGTAGTTAAATATCAATTTGAATGTGATATTTGGATAACTGATACATGCATATCTTGTGACGGGCGCAATATTTCCACTAAGAGGTATCGCACGGTCGTATAACAGCACTTGGCTGTTGTTGATTTGGGCAGATCTTGCTCGATTTCTGATTCCGCGAGTCAACGCGCTTTTGATTTGAACCACAAATACATGTGCCATATAGTATGAGCTGATGAAGAAGTTCTAAGAATGATGATTGCAATAATCGTTTGGGAACGTGTTGGTCCAAAGTCCGATAGCAAGATGTCCATATGCCGGCCGGCGAAGTCACCACTGGGAGGCGCTCTCTCTTGGCGGCTCTCTTCGCGGGCATTGCCTGGCAGTGACCTTGAGGCGCAGCAAGTGTCCGTGGTGACGAATGGAGGCGGTGTAAACAAGGCACGTTCCGCGACCGCAATCACTCGGAAAAATGGGCTATTGGGTTTCGCTTCGGGTGCACCAGCCATCCCTATTTGTTTAGGTGCCATTTGAGCGGCCGAAAAGGCGCCTGCGCACAGAATCACGCCACCCACTGTCCGGAATAGTGACGAGATATCGGCCGTATTTGTCGTCAGCTGTTCCGCCGAGCAATCAATAAGTTATTGTAACTGTAATGCCTCGCCTGTGGGTGCGAGTGGATAGGAGGCCGCCCTTATCGCATTTTCTGCGATTCGGGGAGTGCTCCCTATGGACTCCGAGAATTCGGCACAGCTCGGTCCTTCGCTGGATAATGGAAAGCTTCACTGCCCACACGCAGAGAAAAGTAGTTTTTAATACGCTTATATGGGCAGCAAGTGGCTTTGCTGCTCAACTTTTTACTTAACACTCAATTCTTTATAAAAACTAGCCTAAAAGGTAGGTTAAGACTTGGAACTGATTTTGCCTTGATGGATAATAAACAAAATAGTTGAATTTAACTGTACGAATTTCATATTTTTTATGGCGTTTTTGATAAATTTCATTAGGTTGATGCTTTCAGCATTTCTTGTTTTTTGATAAATTTCATTAAGTTGATGCTTTCAGCATTTCTTGTTTTTAATTTATATAAAAATTTAGTTTTGGAAAATTGAATTCGATTGGCCACAGATTGGCTTGCTACCCGACAGAGTATCAACCACTCGAATTCTGTTTTCCATCATCCAGGTCAGGAATATTTTTCTCCGAGTGCAGGCGAGTGCGCATTTCAGCGGAGAGCTTATCCATCCCGCCGTTGGAAAAGTTCAATGTGAAGGTCAGCCGGAAAATGGCTGTTCGCACCACATTCAGTAGCAATATCATTCAAGTGAATGATGCTCCCAAGCAACTGTTGCCCATGGCTTGGGAAGCAATCCCTTGATTGGACCTACCTGGAGCTGTCCATCGGCGGTGCGCTTCACATGGGAGGTCTGGTAATCGTAGTCGGTGGTGATGAACTCATCGTCCACCTGCACTTTCGGCGAGATTACTTCCAGAGTTGAGTAGTTGGTGGGCTTCATGCTGGGATGTTTTTGCTAACACTCTCGTCTTGTCAATTAGCGCGCTTCAAAGTGCTTGCTTCTGGATTTTCTTGGTTCTGCAGAGGAGACTGCGATGCGGTCGAGGCAAAAGTTCGCGGCGAATGACTCGGTTGAGTGGAAATCGGGCCGCTTTTATGGACTCGCTGACGTTTCGTTACTCACTATTATTTTCACTGCTCGCGTTTTGTGGGTGCCGTTGCAAAAGCTCTAAGCGGTTCGAATCTTCCGACTCATATACGATATGTACATATGTATGTGCATGTACTCTCCACAACGCTCTGCGGCGCACTTAAGGGAACCAGATGATATCGGAAACTTTCCGGCAAGCGTGGGATTTCTCAATGGGCATCACGGAGTCCTTCTTCCCGCCTCTTTTCCAGCCGGAGATCTAGTACACCTATTTCCATAATTTATTGGGTGCTCAATTGAGTTTGAATGGTTCAATCATGGAATTTCCCCCTTGCCACATATTCTCAAACGACTTGTAATGATTTATAGTAAAATCTCATAGATTTCGTGGAAGTAATCATGGGGTACTTTAATTTACAACAAAAGTGGTACGCAAACAAGTGACAATACCAAAGAGTAAGATGCTTCACTTTCCATTTTTGAAATCCAAAATAATTTCCGCTCTTTTTACAAAAATTCAATTCTAGAGCATATTTGATACTTTTTAAGAGTCGAAGTGTTCTTTTAATCTTAATTATATCCAAGCATAGCAGCAGAAACATCGGAATTAAAAGTGTAGAATAAAGTGAATGCCATAAAATATTTATATTCTTAATCAGGAATCGCTAGCGGAGTCAATCTGGCCATGTGCGTATGAAAGCTGGGATCTCCTGAACTATGGAAGCTACTATAGAAAGTTGAGATAGTGCCGCCCACGCTGCAAAGTTTGCCAAAGTTTTGAAAATTTTTGAAACGAATCTTTGACTTTATTTAACTGTCCGTTTTTTATCGATATACCAAAAGGATTCTGGAACTTCCCCCTCGCACTTCCACTAGCTGAGTAAAAGCTATGTGATAGTCGAGAAACTCGACTACAGCGTTCCCTCTATTATTTTATTTTATATGCATAGACGATGTTGTTGTGGTACGAGCCTGAAATGTATCCAGCGGGCCTAAAAGCTTCCTTAGAGTCTTGAGTTTCGCCCAATTTATCGCAATGGACTCAACTTCAATCAGTTCCTTACATCATTGTTATCATAAGACTACTTTGCCTTTAGTATATCAAGTTTATAAGAAATTTTAAAAATCCCAGTAGAATTTTCAGTTCTCGAGTATCATTTAGCAGTCTTCCCGCACTAAAGAGTGAGAGCAGGCAGAAGGCTTTGTCAAATTGTCGAATCTTCTGGAAGCCAGATGTAAACAAAACTTCTTAAAACTTTCCATTATTGCAGCCAATTGAGAGCGAAGGGAGCTCGGATTGCTATTTGTTGATCAATCAATGCAGTGGGCCGGTCCGTTTACACTGCAGATCAAGAAGGTTCTATACCGAATTGCTCCGCCGGAGCAATCAGCAGACCGGGCACATGCTGCAGTGGGCGTCGCGTTTCCCTCACATGCAACTCTATCGCCGGCCCAAGTCTGACACGTAGTTCCAGAAAAAAAAACAACGACCAAGTCGCGGTATCAGTCCGTATCCATTTCCTGCTGGGGGACACCCTTTGGACGAAATGTTTGCACTTGTATCAAATAAATGTATTTTATGTATGTAAAGCGACCTTGAACCTAAGTAGCGAATACTTAAAGTATTCGAATATCTTAAACAAGGGTGCAATGATACAATGATATCAAATAAAGGCTAATATTTTACAATGGTGCTTAGGTGCTATACGATACAACTTTTTGGATCAGCAAATTTTAAAGAATGGTTTTGTTGCTTCGAACTTGAAATATAGATACTGGGCGGGGTCAGTATACGTCTAACACTATGTACATTTATGTAAATTTCACTAAAAAGAGTAACTAAATCACTGTGATCACAATCTGATAAGCACAACACTTTTGCAAACAGAAACAAAGAGAATAAAGTGCGATAATGCAAATGGAATCTAATGAGTATGCACTTATTTCTAATACTGAACTAGTTGTCCAAAAACTCCCACTCGCTGGAGGTGTTTGAATCACTGGTGGCTGGTGTTTCCTTGCACAGCGGATCGCCAGCTCGCCTAAAGTCGGGTAGGAAACTGGTGTACTCCTCCTCTTCCCTGTTCTCTTCCAACTTCAGAGTCGGCTTCGGCTGACTTATGACGAACTTAAGCGGAGCCATTTTACGCTTGGAGACGCCAAATGACCGTATCCCGTCCACGGGCTCACCTACATGATATTCATCTGCTGGGTTGATCGGCTTTTCCCGCGAACTTGTTTGGACACTGGCCTCCTCCAGGTGCGCGGGGTAGCACCTGATCAGCGGATCGCTTAGTTGGGGAGTCTGCACATGGACAGCATGGAGCTCCTCCTGGGACAACGGAGCCAGATGTACCTCGGGCAGATCCAGCTCGGCGGCCAGTGTCTTGGCCTTTTCCGCGACGGTCTTCTGCAAGGTGGTGGGACTTAGCGCATCGGGCAGATGCTGAAGGAAGGCTGCCTTCATGTCCAGTGGAGAGGCCAGACCATTGCTGAGGGAAACAATGTTAATATCGAATAGGAAGGGTAAATATATGAGTTACTTTTCCATTTGGCAGTAGCTGGCCTCCATTAGAGTGGCGGCATTGGTAAGAGGCAGCCGAAGCTCATGGGTCTCATGGCCAATCTCAACAATTCCCAAACCACTGACCTCTGGCGGTTTGCCCACGGATGTCTTGCGGGTGGTGTGGACAATGGACTGCTCGAAATCCATTTCTCCGATGCGGCGGAAGATTTCCTCGCGGCGACTTTGTTGAGCCAGTGGCGACTCCACAGCTATTTCAATGGGCACATTCAGGTTCAGTTGCTCCACAGGTGAGAGCTCAAAACACTCCTCTGCGTTTTGAAGCACATGTTCTGGCTGAAGCTCCATCGGCGACTCCAGTCGCGATAGGTGGGAGCCTAGAACCGGAACTGGAGGCGGCATAAGGGGATTGAAGATAACTTTGGCCGTCTTGTTTGGTGGTTCTGGCAAAGGAGCTAGACGCAGCAATGTGCGATCGCCCTCCAGCACGAAGATTTCTTTGCCACAGACGCAGAAATCAAGGATCTTTCGGAATCCTCGAGCCACGGCTTCTACTTTGAGTCGATCCAAGTTGAGTATGTACAAGGTGGCATCGTCATGAGTTACCAGTAGTGAGTCGTGGCCATCGTACAGGTATAGCTGCCGAAAGTTGCTGCTGGCCACATAGCCCACATCACCATCTCCTAGTCCAGAAGACCTAGTTGAAGATGTGGATGCAGTCGTGTTGTGGGTACTGGACGGTTCACTGCGCTGCTTGGGGTTTAGAATAGGTATTTCCCAGGTTGGACTGCGCAGAACGGCATCTCTGAATAGGACTGTTTTGGACACGTTTCCAGCGGTGTCTGCCACCCAGAAGCGCAGGCCAGGACGTCCGCAGACTAGTTGCGGCTTATTTAATTCTTGTTTCTTCAGAAAGATTGCCCCACAGTCGATGAGCTGCTTGCGATCCTTCTTTCCCACCTGGGTGATGTTCCACTGCGAGGTTTTCACGTCTAGCTGGCATACGATGCAACGGTAGAGGGTGGCCACCAGTAGGTGGCTCTGCCGCACGCTAAGCTGTACGATCTCGTATGCCTCGCTCAGGATCTCCACCGATTTGCTGAGGTGCTGTTCAACGGTTACAATACGCGATTGATTGATTTAAATATACATATTCTTATATGATTGGTTCTTACCGCCTGGTAATCGAATTCCGTGAGCACCACCACTCCCTGGCGATCTCCGGAGTAGAGCTTCATCCCATTTTTGGACCACTCGCAGCTGCTCACCACGCACTTGTGCAGATCCCGGATAGTGTACCGCTCGATGGGCCGACTCTTGGTGCAAGGAGCCACCAAGTCGAGGTCCCGTGGGAGCTCCTTCTGTATCTGGAAGATGCTCACCTGCCCGTTAACGCACCCAGCCGCAACCATGTACTCCACAGAGTTGACAACCCTTACGCACGAAATCCGAGTGGCCACCTAGAAAGGGAAGGGGACGTTGAGTTAATGGGGGAACCACACGCACGCCCGGGGAACGAGAATGAGTCATCACATACCTCTGCCTTTAGCTTCTGCATCTTGCCCGTGTAGCGATTGTACCAGAACACGATGCCCGCGTCGCTGCCCATGGCCAGGAACTCCTCGGTGGCGTCCACACAGGTAAGATTGAGATTCGAAGGAAAGAAGCCGCGCTGCAGATGCGCCGGAATGCGCTCAATGACCTCCGTGAGCGGCGCCCACTCCCTGATGGAGCACAACTCCTTGCTGCTGGCCATGTCCTTGCTGGGGGAAATTGCGCCTCAGGACGGGGATTTCGGGATTCCGCAGTTCTCTCCTTTTATCGGTGATTCTTTTTTGCTCCGGCTCAACACAACAATCAACAAAACCGAGCTGCTGGCATGTGGCAACGCCCGCTAGATATATAAAAGGGGGCAGCTCTATTGGGCGGGTCATTTAAAAATTCGAGCTCCCACAACCTTGTTGCTTATTTGTATAAGAAATAAAAACATTGCCCGCAGAAAGGTAACTAAGGTGTCTAATCTAACATCTAAGACTGATTGGTCCAGCAACTACTTTATTTCTTATTTATCACTATCACAGGTGGACCAAACTCGCATAACGAATTTCGAAGCAGCTCAGCTCAAAACGGATTTTTAAATTCACCGCCAAACATTCTGAACATAATTTGGGCACCTGGCAGCCCTGAAAATCAGCTGTTGCTGGCGGGATCAATGTAGGGAGTGTATTGTTAATTGTTTTTGTTTAACTTGCAAGTTGAAACTGACTAGGATGCGGAAATACCAGCAGTTATTGCTGTTGCTCATCTCCTGCATCAGCGTGACCATCCTTCTGATGTACAAGACCGAGAACAATCGCCTCAAGTACGTGATCAAGTACGTGAACTTCTTCGGACGCAACGATGCCGCTGTTCTCCGGCGCCTGGAGAACGGCACCAAGGAGGACGGAACACAAGTGCTGTGGCGCCCTCTGCCCGTGTGGCAGGTGATCGGAGACTCCTTCCATGCCTACTCCGCCTTCTGGATCCGCAACGAACTGGTGGCCGGCGGCGAAGCACACGTCCTGGTTGTCGGGAAAAAGGGAGCAGTGGTGGACTTCCGGTGCAGCCTGGACCTTCTGAGCGGACGCAGTGTGCAGGGAAAGTTTCGTTTTCAGAGGGACTCTATTGAGAGCCTGGTAGATGACAAATCTTCCAACTTTACCAGCTATCACTTCTTTTGTCAGGTGAGCCGAGATTTCGGTCTGCCCGGTAGTGTCTCCTTTACGGACATAACAACCACCAGGAGTCCAGTGAAGCTGCGTCTGCGAAACCTTAAGCCAGCGGGCAAGAAGGGCGATGGCAAAGTGGTAGCTGTAGCGCCCCGCCTACCAGCCACAATTTGCGTGGATCTTGTTGGCTTCAACATGACCTCCAAGTTCGCACGGACTGAAAATGCTGTGCTGCAGTTCTTCCTGTTCCACCAGGCCATGGGAATCGAGAATTTTTTGGTCTACAACCACGACGAACTGCCTGAGGAAGTGATTCATCTGTTGGAGCGCATCAACATTCATCTCTACGGGCTGCCGTTTAATTTTCCATTCCAGCAGACCAACGGCACACGTTCACGGATCCATCAATTATTACTCACGGACTGCTTGCTGCGAAATGTGAACCACGCCAGCTTCACCCTTCTACTCCGCCCCAACGAGCTGTTCTTTCCAAACACCAAATTCTCTGGGGCTCAGGCGAAGGGATCGCTCCAGCAGCAGCTGCGACATTTCTCGTCCGAAATCACGCGCTTTGAACTGGCCACCATGTCCGTGTGCTTCGATGACCGGAAGAAACTTCTACCCGACAACGTTCAGTACGACCCGGAGCGAAGATCTGAGTTCAAAACATTGCTGAACCGCCTGGAGCTGCCGCCTGCGCAGCTCTTGGCCAGCACATCCGATGTGGAACTATCGTTATCAACCGGATTCGTGCACCGCTACGTGGACTGCGACCATGTGGGCAGCGATGGCCTGCACGACTGGCGAAACGCGGTGCGCGAGGACTTTATGAAGCACATCAACGTGCTTCGCAACGAGGTGGAGCTACTCATCTAGGAACTGGCCACTTATATGTTAAGGTTGAGATTTATATGTAGTTTTGAGAGATTACTTGACTGCCATAAAGTGAATACAAGTAAGCACACAACATTGGTATATTGTATATATCGTAGACAATTATAGACATCGGATCGGCCCGAATAGGTTTCCCGACTTCACCAAATCCAGTTTTATTTCATAGGTTGTTGCTCCCCTCGCTGGGAGCGCAGATACGCGTACTTGACTTATAGTTACTTTAGGCGCTGCATGAGAGCCGCGTTCTTGAGGCCAGCCTTCTCGATGGTGGAATTGTCGTCGCTCAGCTCGCGAGTGGGGAACGAGGACACCAGGATGAAGTTACTAGTTGAGTACTGAGGGCGTGCCCTGTGAATCGTAAATTACATAAGTTAATCACTTCGATGGATCTCTAAAATCGGCGACTTACGTTTGTATGAAGCGACGTATGTCGGAGACGGTATGCGAAAGATTAAACTGCGCAGCTAGACGCGAACCGTCGGCCAGACGAATCTGCAGCGTAGTCGACGGTGCATCGGAATTTAAGTTAATGGCATCCCGGGCGCTAGCCTCCTGGTTGGCTGCTTCGCCGGGCGACAATGCCACTGCAACTGTTGGCGCTTCCGTGACCACATTGGCTACGGGACTGCCCAGCTTCTGCCCCGATCCCTTGAATGTCTGCGGAGCTGGCTGGCGTTTAAAGTCCTCTTGTCGGTGGTCCTCTACATCCACATTGACCATGCGGCCCATTTCCAGTAGCTCTTGCGGTATTTCTCTGGAATAGTGTACATTCTATTATTGGTTTGAAGATAGCTTTACAAAGCTCATTTATAAGCATTTATATCCTAAAAATACTTGCATACAAAGAACACTTTACATAAACTTATTTAGTGAATGCACATACGCTCCTTGCTAGCATATTAACAATGGGAATTAGTGCCACTTACCCGCGCATGACAGTCTCTAGGAATTCCTTGTTCTGCGGATCGTCATAGTGACGCAGCTCACCGCCATCGATGGAGAAGCCCTGGCTCCAGAGCTTTAGAACCACCACCGGCTTGTTTTCGTTGGTCGAAGCCGGTTTATTGGTGCCCACAGCTGTGTGATCATTATCGGTCATGCCCAGCCGCATGCCCTGCCCCCAGACGGCACCACCAGATCCGCCGCTGGCACTGCCGCTGCTGGTGGAGGGCCCCACCTCTGCGATGTTTTGCTCCTGCGCAGAACGCATCATGTCGGTGAGCTGCTCCCGGAAGTTCTTACGCTTGGGCGGGCCAAGGACTTGTTGACCGGAGCGATCTGAGCCGCCAGCATAGAAGGCCTGCTGGTCTTCGTCGCTAGATGACTCTTTCGACATGTCGCTTAGGGTGGCGAATCTGGAGAGAAATTTGAGTTACAATTGTGTGTCCAAGCTTGACAGCTTTTATCGCTCACTTTGGCTTGGCCTTAGACGCAGCTGGTGCGATGTCCACCGAAGCCGTCGAGGATGCGGCGGCTGCGTCCACACTTTTGGTGGCTCCAGCAGCGGATGCCGATGCACTTGCTCCACTGCTCGAAGTCGGCTTTGGTTTGGGGTTGTCTGCGTGGCTCATCGACGGCACCGGAACCGGCAAGTCCGCCTGGGTGCTCCAGTAGTTCCCCAGAGCGTGCTGGAGCCGCACCATTCACACAATTTTTGGATGCATTAGTACTTTGTGCATTTGCTGCATCATTGTTGTCGCCGGTTGGGCGAAAGCTCACCTCGATGTCCCAGTCGCAGCTGGACAGGTAGAACCTGGCCACATTCTCGTCGGTTCCGGTTATCTCTATGAATTGTGCAATCAAATCGCCGCGCGCGGCCATTTTACCCGTGTTTTTAATATATTTTCAGCAGCAAATGATTGACAAAAAATCGTACACCAGTGTGACCACGAGAAGTTAACTGTGTTTGGCAGTGTGTACCCACGTCGAGAATTTTTAAAGCTGCCAATAGTGTTGGTAAGCAAGCCTTTTCGTCAGCGCTGGTCACACCATTTCCCACAATTCAAACTCAAAAATCAATTGGTCATTTTTGACTGTTTATTTGTCGTACATTACATTACAGCATTCACATTTGTATTAAATAGCAACTAAATAACAATAACTACATGTATAACGAAGTATCCAAAGCTTCACATCACCCACCGATATGCGTATAAAAAGAAAAAAGTTCTTGGGCCCTTAATCAGTTGAGCTTTTCTGAAAGTACAAAATTGCAGGCGTTTTTCGACGATTTTAAAATATAATTTCATGTTGTTGTGTAAATTGCTCCCATTATAACACCAGATGGCCCAGTTTAAGTTAGGTGAGTTGTCTGAATGTGCAATGAAGTTAGTAAAGTGCATGCCCAAGAATCTTGTGCTACGCCTAAACATTTATTGCACACAATTTCAATAATAAATGGTTGGGGTACTCTGGCGCAGGCTCACAAAGCTTCGGCTCCATCATTGTTTCTACTTCGACAGCAACTTGCCCTGCAATTGTGGACAAACGGCGGGAAATGTGTATTTTAGGAGTGATGCGTGGAGAGTGATAGTGTCGTGTGTTGCGTGTGTTTCTCAGTGTCGTGGATGCATGGAAAAAATTCTCATTTTAATGGGCACAACGGAGCGATAGCGGGCGGCTTGCTATACCTTCCTTACCTGTAGGTAGTAGTTGGCCAGCACCGTCAATCCGACTCCCAGTCCGATGGCCAGCACGTGGCTCAGATGCAGGTTAGGCAGCGGACGGCGCTTGCGCAGCAAGAAGGAGAGCAGCGATCCCTTGCGATCCGAGTAGGGTGGGTATCGAGCTCTGCAGGGGGATACAACCATGAATCACTCAAATCCATTGAGGAACCTGATTACTTACGATGCCAACTTCTCGCCGAACGCGGACAAATCCTTGCCCAGGCAAGATTTTTTGTGCGTGAAGGTCTCGAAGCCATACTTTCCGTGATAGCTGCCCATTCCACTCATGCCAACGCCTCCGAAAGGCAGCACATCAACTGCGAAACAGGGGAATAATAAATGAAACTTGCCAACCACCAAGAATAATTTGTTATTTGCAAAATGGTTAATGAGTTAGCAAAAACAGCTTTCAGTTTTGCAAATAACAAGCAAACTCATTTGATTGTAAAAGCAACATTAAGTCGAAATAAGTTACTTATGGTTAAGCAACACCCTGGATTATTTTCTACAGCTATCACCAGCAATGTTAAAACCCTCTTAATATTAATTTAATTTTGCAATACTTAACCAAGCGCTTAAGTAGTAAACATAATTTCTCAAAGCCAATAATACATATGTATGTACATGTGAATTCCAACAGTCCGCCAAATTAAAATTTAAAACAATGTGCATAGTTTTGAGCGCTCGAAAGCATTTGTTTTACGTATTCAGCTGTGTTCATGCGGATTCTCGATGTGGTC